CCCCTGAGAAACAGAACAGTCAACCTGGGACCATAAACTCAATGCCTAGAGTGGGCAGGCAGGTAATGTAAACAAATGAAGCTGGTAGGGGTGACACTAGGGTGTGGTGGGGACAAAGTGGGGCAAAGTGGAAAATGTGAGCTCTTGTTCACAGGGCAGCATCAGGCTCTGGTTGTCTTCAAGAAAAGCAGGTCCAGTTGCAGATCTTCTGGTTTTGCAAAAGTTCGCAATCTGGATTTGTACTTGAAACCCCTTGATATTTAAATGTCTGTGATTAATTAATTTTTAAGACACTGTCCAGGCGAACATCCAACCAACAGGGTGCCAGTTCCTGACTACTAAGTTAAATTATTCACTTTCCTTTCCTCCCTCCATCCCAAGGAGTTAAGTAGGAAGAAAAGAACTGCTCTACAATCTGATCTGGGTGTTTTTGGCTCTTTGTTTTTTCAAATTCAAGTTCAACCCCCAGCCTTTCCATTGAGGCCATCTCTAGCTGAGGCATCTTGGGAAACTGCCAGGCAGAGGAGAGTACAATTTGAAGCTATTTCCTTTCCATTTCTGTTTATTTCAGTGGTAGAGCCAGAGGAGCTATTACGTTGTTAGAGTAACAGCCCCTTGTTTTACAAGGCAAAGAAAAGTGTAAAGGATGAGAAAGGCTCAACGCAATCACAATGTAGGTGCTTTGAGCAAGGAAAACAATCACTTGCTCTAAAGGACTCATGGTCTTAAAACTTCCTGAAGGATTTTACATGAGCATCTGAGAATAGAATAAAATCCAGCATGTTTATGCTTAATAGCAATGACTAATCTTTGAAACTGCTATCCTGATAGAACCAGGGTTATGTGAGGTCACGAGAAATGAGATTCATGCTTGTTGCAGATGCTGTTGAAAGTCCACCCCACATCAACTCCACCCTCCTTCCTTACTGAGAGAGTCTCCACTTTGTTTAGGTTCCTGCCCCTCTTCCCACGTGACTCACTGGCAAATCCTGATCAGTGAGGTCAATCGTGGTGGTCTGGTTCTCTTCATTAGTGGTAGGATTAGGATAAGCATATGACCCAGCTGGTCACTGACATGCAAGGGATTTAGAGACCTCTAGGAAAGGATTTATCACTATTAATAAGGTGAAGCCTGAAAAGAAGTAGCCTCTCTTCTTCCTTTGAATGTTGTCATGTCTGGATGTGACACCTGGAACTCCAGCAGCCACCTTGTGACCATGAGAGAAGTCAGCTTAAGGACAGATCTGAACCCTGGTGGCAGAGTAGGAAGACGGAAAGACCCTTATTCTCAACGATATAGTTGAGCCATTGTATTAAATTGAACTCAACAAGCTTGAATCCCACCTCCCTCTGGAGCTCTGGTATATGAAATAATAAATCTTCTTTCATGCCAATTTGAGTTGAGGGCTTTCTGTTTCTAACAGCCAAAGGTATCCTAGCTGGTACAATGGTCATTCCAGAAGGTCTACAAAATAGTGTCTTTTCCATCTAGAGTCATGTGGAATCATCCATTAATTAGTTTAATGAGTCTGATCACAGGGCAAAGAGAAGCAAAGCCATGGTTAGAATGACCATGCAGTCCAGCAATCCCACTTCTGGGTGCCCGAAGGAAATGAAGTTAGCATCTTGAAGAGGTATGTGCACTCTTGTGTTCATTGCAGCAATACTCACAATAGCCAAGCTACGGAGACAACTTAAATATCCATCAGTGGATGAATGGATAAAGAAAATGTGGTATTTAGAGACAATGGAATATTATTCAGCTTTAAAAAGTAGGAAATCCTGTCATCTGTGACAACATGGATGAACCTGGAGGCCATGATGCTAAGGGAAATAAGCAGACACAGAAAGACAAATACTGCATGATCTCACTAATACGTAGGATCTAAAAGAGTCAAACTCACAGAAACAGAGTAGAATGGTGGTTGCCAGGGGCTGGGGAGGGGGGCAAATGGGGAAAAGTTGGTCAAAGGGTACAGAGTTTGCAGGATGAGTACATTCTGGAGGTCTAAGGCACAGCACGGGGACCACAGCTGTGGGGAAGCCCGGGCAGTGCATGTTGAGTGTCCGAGCAGAAGGGCAAAAACTCTCCTGTTCTCTCCGGTGAGGCTCTGCCCATCCACCTGTGGTTAGCTCTTTCTCTTTCGTCAGTCAGGTTATATGTTATATAAAGTATGTGGGCCAAGTAGAGTGGAAGGAGAACTGGGGAGAAATAGATGTTTCTGGGTTTTACTTGGGTCTAATTAAGGAGGTGATTTATTGGAAGACAAAGACCCACGGAGTGTCAAGCTAGGAACCTTTTCAGAGCATCCAAAGACCACAGTCTCTCTGCTTTGGAACGGCAAGAGTTTACTGCTGTGGATTTCCCTTGAAGAGCTATCTCATACTGTCTGATTAAAGCAGCCTCCGGCTGAGGAAATGAATTATGTAAGTCATATTTTACTTAGATTACTCTCTACACATCCAAGCTAGGTTAGCATGCTCGGTGGTGATCAAATATTCCCAATAAGAATGGAAAGGTGGTCATTGTGGGGCTAGAAACAGTATACTGTGTTGCTTGAAATGCCTGCTTAGTGTCTTAGTGAGCCTCTGATCATAAGCAAAGACTGCTAAATTACGCAGAGCAATCCCATTAGCGCTTAAAAAAAAAAAAGACTGTGCTTTTAAAAGAATAAATTTGAAAGTAATTATTGTTTTCTTTCCTTTTGGATTCTTCCTCCTGATTATCCTGCTTTGCTGCAAGGATTCCTAAATATTGTCGCCTCTTTTTAAAAAATTTTTTTAAATTTGTTTAGAGGGGAAGTAATTAGGTTTATTTCTTTCTTTATCTTTCTAATGGAGGTCCTGGGGATTGAACTCAGGTCCTCGTGCATGCTAAGCACAAACACTACCAGTGAGCTATCCCCTCCCCTATATTGTTGCCCCTTAAAAGCACTCTTTCTTCCTTGCTGTGTGCACACACAGACACCAGGCTCTTCCTTTCCCAGAATCCCAGGCTGGATGTTAACTGTTCTCTAGAATAGGAATGGGCAGAAATCAAAGAGGAAATTCTTTTTTTTTTTTTTTTTGAGCAAAAGGGGCAGGGGACAGCTGTTACGCATGCCTGACCATATCTTAAATACCTTCTCTTTTTGATAGGATCCCACAATTTTAGTCCCATGTCCCCAAAGTAGAATCTTAAGAACTACATTTCCCTCACAGATGCAGGCACGTGACTGAGGCTCTACCAATCAGATACAGGCATCCAATACTCTGGTTTCGAAGTAAGCCAACAGTAGAAGAGAGTTTCAGGGGCAAAATGCTGCAGGCACGGGGACTGTCAGAGGCAGTGGAAGAGAGTGCCAACCAGGCACTTATTCACGATGCTTATTCATGGCAACCGTCTCATCACCCTATCGGAGACCTGGCTTTGAGCACTGAACATGGAAGTTCAGCCTTGAGCCTGTTTCTCTCTGGTCTTCCCCGCCTGCTATCCTCTCATAAAGTTTTGCTTTTGTGCTTAAACAACTCAAGGTGGATGCCACTATCTGCAGCTGAAAATTCCCTGACCCAGTAAGCACACACGGGTATGTGACAGGACTCCACTTGCAAACAAGGGTTCAGGGAAGCTCTCTGTGGAAGGAAAGCTAAATCTCTTAACTAAAGCGATTCTAATCTTAACCTGAGCTCGGTACAGAGGAGCCTGCCAGCGTCAGGGGATTGGAGTGAGCAGTTCTTGCCTCTTGGTCAGAATGCATGAGGCAAAAACTGAATGCAGCCAAAACCCGGGGTCACATCTACTCTCGTGAAACAACCAAACAAGTGACCGTCTTGACGGGGTTATTCCAGGAGCGTTGCCTTCCTCTCCCAGCCTGAAACGCCAGCACTAGAGAAATGGTCCCTGGGTCTGGAAGATTGTTTTCATCTCTATTCCTGCTGGGGGGCAAACCCTTGTGATGGAGACTACGCCTTCAGCGTTAGCTGCACGCAGGCCTTAGTGGACACAGCTCAGGATGGGGTTCTTGGGAAAGAGGCCCAGGAGGGTCCCAAGACGAGGAAGGCGGCAGGACCCTGGAAATACACCTCACGTGTTTTCCCCGGGTCTGGCTCCGTATACGCTGTGAATCAACACAGTTTCAAAAGAAACTAGAACGCATCACCTCTTTTGTGATTTTTTTTGCTAATCAAACAAAGGCAAGTTAATTCCCTTCACTGTTTCAAATGTGATTTCCCCAAATAGAGAAAATCTAAACATATGGCAAGAAGCTTTGAAATCTGTGAATGTGTGAATGTCACGATAAAAATGGAACGGGGGAGTGTTATGAACCGCCAGACCACGTTCTCCGAGAGTGGAAGGGAACCTCTCGAGCTCACCTTCCTTGCCTGCTATGGCGCTGACTAAATCTGGCAGCAGGGGCGTCTCCTCCCAGGCTGGCGATGGAATTTTGAAGAAGCAGTGCTACTTGCTGCGATCAAATTTACTGAGAGGGAGGCTCAAAAAATCGTAATAGAAAAATTGTCAGATGCTACAGAAAATCTGGTGACTTTAGGTCTTTGAATCCCAGTTCCATCTACTATGGGACCTTGGGCAAGTCCACTGGCCTCTCTAACCCTTGTTTTCCTCGGCTCTTAGGTGAGAGGTATCATTCTCAGCTTATAAAACTGTTACGAGGAGACTATTGATAACATGGGTCGTGCTATACCTGGTCACGATAAGGGCTGAAGAAATGGGAATTATTAAGTGATGAATGTAAGGCCAGCCTCTATCTTCAACCCAGCCCATCCAAAGGTCATGATAAATGCTCATGTCTGAGTTTCTAGTAGTAGCCTCTAGAAAGGCTCTAAGTCCCTACAAGGATTCAGTCAGTGGCTTTCAGAGGGGAGAACCAAAAATACAGCCTGCCTCACCAAAGAGCATACAGGTTCTTTATCAAGCTGTTAGTTTATCTCAGTGTTAATCACTGTCCTCTCATTTGGAATCGAAATAAGAGAACTATCTGCCCTTTGGACAAGGTGTTTAAGCTTTTATTGTGAATGGGAACAGGCTGGGGCCTAGAATCTAATTGACAAATAGCCTACATGTAAAGAGCATTCATTGGAAGACTCTTGAATGGACAATTATTCGTAGCAAACAAGTTCAAACCAGAAGATAGGCTGCTTGAAAATCATGACTTTAGTCAAAGTTGAAAGATACAAGAATAGTTAAGTATTTTGCACAAAGGAAACTCGTTGCTGATCCAGGAGAATGGATGCCCATAGAACACAGTCTCTTAAGGGTTTTGTTTTGCTTCTTTGAGAGAGGTCGCCATCGTCCGTCATTGTCAGTTCAGCTGGGGGTTCCTTCCATCACGTTGAGAACCTGGAGCAGAGAGTCCACCAACTTAAAAAATATTAGAAAGAGGTTAAGCAAATGTAGTTCATGATGCCGAAGCCCTAATGCTAAAAGTAAATCCATTCCCAACAAACCATCAGCATCACTTGGGAGCTTGGTAGAAAGGCAGATTCCTCGGTCCACCCCAGACCTACTGAACTGGAAACTATGGGGATGGGACCTAGTGATCTGTGCTCGCAGAAGTCCTCCAGGTGACTCTGAGCACGTTCATACTTGAGAACCACAGCTGTCTCCTGGGAGAGAGATCAACTTCCTTCTTTTTGGGAGACACTGTATTTTCAGGTCTTTTTGTTATATTAGCTTAAGGTGTGCCCTGATATGACTACACAAGTATATTTTGATCAGTGTTGGAAATTAAATGTATTATCCCCAGGAATTTTTACTCAAGTAGCAACCTGGTAGAGGAACTATTAGGGAATGTGGAATCTTAATTGTTACTTCGCCTTGTTGGCAGTGCCTCGTTTCACAAATCAAAGCTAGTTTATGAATTACACAATTACACATTATAAACACATGACTGTAAATGGTAGTTGTGTGGGCAACTTGGGACAAGGAGTTAATTTGGGTTTCTGCCAATCCTAAACTGATTGTGGTTTGTTTTTGTTGTGGCTTCTGTTCAAATTAACACCAAAGAAAGAATGAGCAGCTATCATTTTAAAACCCTTCCGTTCCCATGTAGCACCCTTTACCCACTGAGACGAGAAAACACTTTTCATCCGGACTAGAGCTTATTACACTTTCCAAGATTCTCGGGCAATTCAGGTTCCCCAATGTCCAGATCAGCCATTTATTCCTAATAAAGGACTCGCTGAGCTTCTCAGATCAGTTATTGCCTGCTCTGTGGCTCAGTTGTTCTGACCAGGTGATAATGAGGCCAGGGCCTGGGGTTCCATTCCCAAACAGGCCAATTAGCTTCTCTTTTCTCCACGAGCCCAGGAGGCACCATTAAGGGTCACCAGCCTGCCCAAAGAGGCTGCCATCCATCTCGCAGTATGAGCCACTGGTCATAAAAAGAGGCCAGCTGAGGATGAGGGACAGGATGCGTGGTTGTCCCCTGCACTGGCTCAAAATATTGAATCTGAGAATTTGGCTCAAGAGAGTGGAAATAAAGTGACAAGGAAAAGACAAACTGTGTAACCTAGGACCTGGAGGCTGGAGGAGGGTTGCTGGTTCGGGTGTGGGAAGGTGGGAGCTGTACTGGAGGTGGGAGCCAACCTCACTCTGCTCCACAGACACGGTCCAGGGAATCAGAAGCTTTTAGTTATTCTTGATTGTATGTTGCTTTTCCTATATTTGGAGCTTCCCTTGGAGCTTTTCACATACAAAAGCTTTCTATTTTCTGTGCTGATCTGATGGGACAATGGGAATGGTCCCTTAAAAGTGAGGCCATATGGTATTTTTCTTTCTCTTTCTGGCTTACTTCACTTAGAATGATGATCTATAATGAAAAAGAATATGAAAATAAATAAATAAATATATATATATATATATATATATATATATATATATATAACTGGAACATTATGCTGTACACCAGAAATTGACACATTGTACACTATACTTCGATTTAAAAAAATGGAAAAGAAAGTGAGGGCAAAGTTGTACATTTACGTCCTTTCCATAACACCTTCTGCAGTGCATTCCCAGGTCCCTTTCTTCACGTCCAGCAAAAAAGAGAAAAAAAGCCTAGGCTGTAAAAAACAATGAACTGAGTCCAAATTATAAAAGGAACCCAAAGTCCACCTTCAACCTTTACTGAAACTCAGGACAACCCTCAGGCACATCCGGGACTATGGATTAAGCCCTGAACACTGTTTCTTGCTTTAGAAACCATAGGGGGAACGTTCCATCAATTCTTTTTTTGCAGGAAGAGAATAGTTAAAAGATTAAGGTTAACCTTGAAAATTATTGGCCATAATTGCTAATAAAGTTCTAGAGCTTGTTTGCCGTGATATAGTCGCCAAACTTCAGTGCACATTTACATGAAGCTTTTCTGAATCCAGTAAATATCTTTGTCATCAAAACATAGGAAGATGCTCAGTTTCTAACTACGGCTCTGGGAGATTTGGCAACAGGACTCCATGTTTTATTACTAAAATGGGAGAGGGGAGCATATATGCATAGTTTTTAATTTTAAGGAAAGTCTTCAGCCTCTGAAAATCCCTGCTGCTAATTCTGGTCATGCTCAGCTAAATTATTAAACTTCTTTCTAACACCAAAAGATACAAGGATTTCTAATAGAACTATTCTCTTGTTACTTCCTCTTTGTGAATAAGGTAATTGCAGGATGCTTTCAATCTTCGTATCAACATACTTTCATTGAGGTGAAGTTTCTAAAGAAGAGGAGTGATAAACTGGTTTGGTCTCTGCAAAGATGAAACCATTGAATTTGTTTTTCATCTTGCTGGGAAATACAGCCAAAAGAATGGTACCGAAGTGTGCAATAGCTAATTATTCAGTTTGGGGCAGAATGAAGAGGGATGGGTTTTCTAAACTTGTAAAAAGAAAAACAAAGCACAAAAAGATATAATAGAAAAGGCCTGATTATAAAAAGACAACTTTTTTTCAGCTCACACTGTATACCGATAAACATTCCCCTGAAGTCACTCTCTGCAAATGCACACTCAGCCCATCCTGTAGAAGTGCCACTCGGAGACCTTTTGTAATTGCCTCCAGGGGTGACAGAACACCCTTCTGAAGATGGCAGGAAAATTTTGATCCTTGAGGAAGGAGTTGCATTTTTCAAAACGTTCCAAAGTTATGCAGAGCTAGGTTTGGGGGAATAAAGCAACTCAAAGTGGGTGTTGTTTGGTTCAAACTGAAGGACTATAGATTAATTCCATGATAGAGTGTGTGTGTGGGGGGATGTTTTATGAATGAGTGATGAGGGCAAGTCCATTTCAGCGTTTGTAAAGTTATTCTAGAGGGTTTTGTGGTGGTGATCACTGTTACTCTTCAGACAAAGGAGAAGGCACTGCCTTTGGACATCCACCCACAGGTAGTCCAGCAAAGCAATTGACCAAGAAGAGGCGAGGCCAACCAGGGGCCAAGAAGTCAGTTACAAACTCCTGGAGCCCTTAAAGCCCCGCAATCCACTGACAGACAAGGGAGCTGGTCACACAACACCTGTGATTCCTATAACACAGGCGTGGACAAGAGAATCACTCACTCAGAGCTTTGTACAAAGCTGGTTCTTATTTCTGTATTGGCTGATGTAATCCAGATTTTCCTCCTGAATGAAGGCTACGAGAGACTTTCTCTCTAGGTGCTTAATGCAACAAATGAACATTTCGTTTGCATTTAGCATAGAGAATCCACAGTAAATGGAAGAGTAGGGAAACGTAAAACCTCCCTCTGGAGAAGCCAGCCGAGGCCAGGTCAAATCAGCCCTGAGCCTCTGTCCAGGAGCCATCACTCAGAGTTAACCATCACAAAAGAGGGACGGTGTGAGCTCCTCAAGGTCCCTGAGTGAAACACAATGTCATTTATTGCCAGGAACAGTGAGAAGCAAGGCTGCTCCTGCACGCTATTGCATCCTGCATCCTCGTATTTAAGATCAATGAGGACCGTTCCCAGAAGATGCCTCACATGGCAGCAGACTGTCCGAGGCAGACAGCATGGGCTTTTCTCTTGAAAAGCTTGTCTCAGTTTCCTCCCGTCTAAAATGGAGAAACTAAACGCATCTTCCGGAATCTCTCTCCTAGGACCGCTGTGAGCATCACAGGAGGAAATGGAGGGAAACTGATTCAGCCAGTACTTGGGTTATAGGAAATCCTCACCAAAACTAGTGATTATTATTATGAGTTGTATTGCAAAGATTAGTTTTGCCTTTTATCATAAATTTCATGGAAACATCTTAAAAGTTAATGAGAATCACATCATTTTCAGTTGCCTGGCTTTCTTCCTATAAATTTTATTCTCTCTCTTATCTTGTTTCCTGTCTGTCTTTGCATCTAAACAATCCCAATTTTCTACCATTCTTTTCCTTTATTCTCTATAAAAACACATAGAGAACAAATCAGTTGACCTTAGATATGTTCACCAAGTTTTGAAATATTAGGCTGAAGCCTGAACAAGGTAATCTTGGAACAAATACGAAGGAGGACTACTCTGCACAAAATGCAGGCAGCAAGAATGCTGTCTTCTAAAAGCATCCATGAATAGGCCCTTCCTCTAGTGTTCATCAAAAAGAAACATATCTATGGACCCACAGGGATGAACTCAAATAATCTACGACCTCACTCTACAAATACTCTGGTAGGGTGACTTTTTTTTAAAATCCCATCAATGCACAATAGAAAATAAAACACCTCAATTGGAGTTTGATGTGCTAAGAGGAAAAATAATCAATTCCGCTGAAAAGAAAAGCTAGCATGGGGTCTGTCTGCTCATTTTCTCAGCATGCACTGGTGTTGTCCGGAAGGCTTGCCTCTAAGCAGTCTTCTTCTTCCCTGCTCAAACCTCCCCTGCTCCCAACTCTCCCCATTACCCCCCACACCCACCCCACCCGCCCAACCGCCACTTCCCCAGGATGCTCAGTATACCTTTGAGTCTTGAACTGATGTCTTTAAAGTTGCTGCTGTCCTCTGAACCCCAAGTAGACTGGCGGATGCCCAGGGGCTCCCACTGAGACGGCTGATAGCTTCGGGTCCCCTTTGCTTCTAGGAGGGTCAGCAAATTCCTTGTAGCTTCTCCCCGGTGAAGGTACTCCCTCAGCTGTTCCTTCATGCTCCCTCCCTCATAAACATATGGAGACTCTCCTGTGCTCTTTTTTCCCATTAAGTGTCCTGTTCAAAAACAGAAACAATATACAGCCAATATTTATAATGACTATAAATGGAATATAACTAAAAATTGCGAATCACTGTGTTGTACTCCTGTAACTTATATAATACTGTACAGCAACTGTGCTTCAATTAAAACGTTCAGTGCCACATTCATAAAGAAATAAAAGAAACATATACTCTGGTTCAAAAACAAACAAACAAAAACAGAAGGTCACAAATGTAACCCCGGGGAATGAATGAACAAGAAATTAAAAAGGACACCAACTGTGTTTGTGTTGCTCCCTCCTAAATGCTGGATAGATAGCGTTTTACTATCAGGAATTAGTTCATAAATGATTGACAGATTTTGCTCCTTGCTCAACATGCTTAATGAGTGGACAAACTTCAGAACTGCAACTCAAGAGCTCTGGGTCTGGTCCCAGCCCCTCTGCTAATTAGCTAGGTGACCTCTGTCAAGTCACTTAGCATCCCCAGTCTTCAATTTTATCAACAATAAAATGAACATGTTGGACTAGCTGACATCTAAGGAAACTTCCATATCTGAAATTCTATCACCAACTCTGTGTGCACTGAATTTTATTCCCAGCTGAATGATGGAGTTTGGACATCTTCCCTAGTCAATTTTGAATTGCTCCTGAAAAGACAGGTCTCGTGCTTTCCTCTGTGTGGTTAAGAAGATGTTGCTTTCCTCTTACCTGTAATACCCATCCATGTACCAAAGGAATTTTCCAACTAAACTTTCTTAGCATTTTAGCTGAGATTGAACCTAGATATGACACCTGGGAAATGCAGTCTGTAATGAAAGACAAGTTGAAAACAAATTCTGACCAACACTTTTCAGTCACCTAAATGCAGAATTTTCTCATGAAGGTATAAAATCATCAGCAGAAGTCTATCAGTGGCTCCAAGTATGTGTACTTGTCATATAAACAAATGAAAGTTGCCATGCAGGAGGCCAAACCGCTAAAAACATGGAAATTCATGTGTGCAAATGGGGATTACCATAGGGTCAGAAAGGGGCATGGAATTCAAGGTCTGCGTTCTTAACACTTCAGCCCATTGCTTAAATAAACTCACATTGCCTAATTTACTTTCTTTAGTTGATTTTTCCCATTTCTCCGTAACCGGGTTTTACAGCACTTTCAAATTTCTAACATTAGTAAAATTGTGGTGCTTTTGATTTAAAGTTCACAAGGGAAGAGCTCTTTGTGGCTCCAGTGTTGACTGGCATTAGTAGCATTAAAGGCAAACATCATGGAAATAATATTTGACAGAACTCAGTCGCTTCTAGCAGCTCTGTCCCCCAACAGAGAGCCCCCGCCGTGACTTTATTGCTTGTGTGAGTACTCCAATGTGCAGTTAACAGGATGTTACAGGTGCAGATTATTTCATTTGATCTGCATAGTGATCAATTTGATGAAAATGAGACTTGCCAAAGATCACACACATGTAAGTAAAGATTCTAGGATTAAAATCAGCTCACAGTCCAGACTCTAGAATATAACACTGCTTTGAAGTGTCTTTGAACTTCCTGAGAACCTAAGCCAGTTAGAAATCATTCTGGGGCCTGGAAATCAGGATAGCGTCTACAAGAGACTTTCAAATGTTTTAAAAGGAATGGGGATCGTATATCACTATGTCATGACTCATTATGTAACCCAGAAAAATTAATTCTGTGAGTACTGGGGAGCCTAAAAATGAGGTTTTACTACTTTGCAGTGTGAGCATTTGCCAAGTCACTTACGACCTGACACCTCACGCAATTTTAAGACTATTGAGGACATGGTCCCAACTGAAGGAGTGAAATCCTGAAAGACTGGACCCTCACTTGTCTGCTGGGTCAACCTGGTGCCCGGGTCTCCACTAAATAACCTTGCATTTAGCCATAGCAATGACTGTGTTGCACAACTTCCCAGGAAGTGGCGAATCATTTGGCTTTATTTACATGGAGGAAATTGCATTATGATAATGGGAAAGTGGGATTACAATCTGATGCTCCCAGTAATGATCTCAGTCACTCTCGTCCTCCGTCATTGCCTATCATCTAGTTAGAATGCTGGAAATGAGAAAGGCGTTATCACCAATGAAACGGAGGGACTCTCGAGATGGTTTTCCTAACAGGACTTTCATTTTTGTCATGCTTGAATAACTGTGTGGACTTTTCTAAAATGGAAGGATAAAATGGGCCTCCATTCTGTGATTGGTTTAACATAAATCCCACATTTAACGTAAATTCAGGGACACTGTACTGAATTTCAGTATTTGCATATTTGGTGGGTAGGCGTTAGCCTCCCTTTCCTAGCCCCACAGACCGGTTATTGAGAAAAGTATGCCATCTATAACATCGCAGGGAGACACACATTTCCTGGGTCCTAATGCACTTCTGAGCTAGTTACCATCAACTAAATAATGGTTTCCATGGCAACGTGGATGATAGGCCCACTTCCACCTCTTCTCCCATCATCATTTGTTATGTGTCCATATCATAATAATGGAGATCTCAGCATAGACAAATGACAGGCACTTGAAAAAATAAAACCTTGGCCAGAGGGGAGGAAAAAGCTTTTGTCCTTTGAATCACTTAAAAATACCACTAAAATGGCAGGCATGACACATAAAAGAATTGTCTTGAACTCCAAACTTGAAGATTACCTAACCTCAGAAAATATACATTAAGACAAAGTGTTGAGTACTTCTAAGAGCTGATTTTTCTGGAGCGATACTTCAACTGTTTTTCACAGTCTCTGGGGCAGCTCAATTAATGTAAAGTGATTCTGCAGCTGAACACTAGTGCTCAGAACTCAACCTTCCACGACACACTTCGCATCAGAGTTAGAGCCATGACCAGAAACATTTCGTGGGAGCACAGGTGATAGTCACCAGCATTGGTGTTAACCTATATTTTCATCACACACGAAATATTTCCATGAACATCAAGCCAGAGAAGAGTTGGTTTTCAGTCTGCTAACTGTGTTCCATGACCACATCACGTTTCTCTCAGCTGGAAGAAGCAATCCACTTAACAAACGTGCAAATTTGTGCTGACAGCTTCTTCATGGACGGCAATATGGAGCTCCAGTTTGCTTTAATTAAAACTAAATTGCGTGTCCTCCATGACTGAGGAGATAGGCATTTACTTCAGAGAGCAGAAGGCTCCATATAAAATCTAACAATGTTATTCATGCTTGTGAATGCTCATATTCCAACAAAGGGCATGTCTACCCAGAGCAAACTTTTCCCCCACTGCAACGTCATTTTAAACCCAAACGCAATTTTCTACGTCACCCCCTTCTTTCCCTCGTTCCTCATCAACTCTGCACAGTCAGCCAAGGGAGAAAAAGGGAAAAGAGTGTGATTGAGAACAGATAAGAAAATAAGTCAATTTGGGGGTGTCACTGGTCAGTGTATTTTTGGGCTGGGAATGCCCAAGTTCCACCATGACGGGTGATTAAATGACAGGCATCCTAAACACCTGGGGGCAGATGTGCTCAGGAAAGACAGCAGTCAGGGCTGGCTGGCATCAGAAATAACATGATTCTAGCTTCTCAGATAACTCTCTTGTCCTGCATTTGGCCTGCAGGGGCTACCTAACAATAAGCCTTTTTAGTACAAAAATACAGATGAGCAAAAAGAGGCTGGAAATTTGGAAATTTCATTCCCTTAGCTCATGTCTGGACTGGACAATGGCCTTGATCTAAACTCCCAGAACCCCTTTTTAAGGATCAGTTCTGGTTTTGGCTTCTTTAACACCTTCTAAGCATCCTTTTCTCTTGAAATGCAGGAGTTTTCACCCATAGAAACCTCTCCTCTCTATACCAGGCTCCTGTGTTCCGAGTGCCCCACAGAGATGACGAATACTTCATCCCTAGGGTTGCCAAGACTTGGGAAATGACTCTTTCAGTAATAATGAAAATAATCCTATTGCAACCCAGAGCTCCGGAAACACACACAAGGCAGACGAGCTGAGGACGTGACAGCTTTAGCCTCACCACTCCCCTAAATTCTTCCTTGTCTTCACACCGAGAAACTGAATCCTCTGGCAGTTGAATTAGCAATTATCTTTCCAACACACCCTACGCCACTCCCAAGTAGATGACTCAGGAAATCGTGAAACAAACACACACACACACACACACACACCCCACCTTAAATCTCTCTAGGGATCGACCAGCTTCCCGGAAAATGTTGAGATTGTTGTAGATGGCTTGGTGGGGAGGTGTCTGAGGAAGTCGGACGCTTTGTGATTGCCAGAGGCTAAACTCGGCTGGACCAAGAGCCCCGGGGTGATGCTCCATAAGCGCGAAGCTGAGGGGCCACTACCTGCCTCCCAGCCTCAGAGAAGCAGCGGGTGCGCGCTCGGCCGCCCGCGACCCGGTACAAGTCCCTGCGGTTACGGGGCCAGGACAAGCGAACCTCCAAGCCGGTGCCTGAAAAGCAGGACTTGTAGGCAGGGAGAAGGGGAAAGGAGTTAGGGGAGAGGGCGAGGTCGCGGGGTCAAGAGAAGCAGAGAAAAGCAGGGACTTAAGAGGACAGAAACCCGGGATTGGTGTGGAAACCAGGCGCGATTCCCGAAGCGCCAAGCCTGCTGTATAGAAAGAGGAAGGGTTGGGCAAAAGGGCAGAGAAAAGACAATCGCTGCACAGGCAAAAAACAATGGACCGAGAAAGTTCAGCCAAGCCTCAGATAGAAGCGGGATTCAGGCGCAGCTCGCCGAACAGATTTGAAATCCTGGGCGGGCAACGCGCCCCAGGTCCCACACCTGTGGCTCTGCCGGGCGCGATGGCGCAGCCGCCGGGTTGGAGCAGGGCTCCGAGAGGCGCTCGGGGACCCGGCCCCACAAAGTTCACAGAGAGAACCGTGCCAGGCAGGACTGAGATTCAGCGGACAAAATGAGGTGCTGGGAGGTGCGGAGGGAGGGTGATCTCCGTGTGGGTTGGGATTTTGGAGAGCTGCGCGCTGGTTCAGATGTCTTGGGGAAGAGGAAAGAGAGCGGGAAAGGATCGAGGGACCAGTCTGAGGCTGCCCAGGGACCGACGGCTTCCCAGGATGCAGAAGGGCAGGGGGAGTTTTGGGGTAACCGGGTTGGTGTTTGGGTAGAAAAGTCCGAGCAAACCCAGCCCCCACCGCCGAGCCGCAGAAACGCTGACATGGGGAGACGGGCCCCCGCGGCTGGCAGCTCCCGCCTGGGCTAGAGCGCGCCGGACACTCACCCACCGCCCAGTGGTTGCCGCGCGGGTAC